CAAACGTCTGGGCATAGAGCTGACCAGATTTATTTTAATTTTATTAGTGCAAAGGGGCTTTGTGCCTGAAGGACTATTGTTTTCGTATTGCTATTTAGCTTTGGTTCACTATAAATGTCCGTTTCCCTTTTCAAACTGTTCCCACGCATTGTTAGAGTTCTGCATTATATTTGAAGAAATTAAATAATGAAAAATCTGCATAAATGTATGTATATTTCTCGCATTGTGATAAAACGACGGTACATAGAGCCATCGAATTTTGAATGACGTAATCCTAGTGCGAAGGCCAAATTTGAAATTTGTTTTATTATCGATTTCATATTTTGTAAAACTTTAACGAATTTTTGATTAACAAACTCAAGAATTTCAAAGCGAGCCATGGCAACGTTGTACAGAAAAAACATTTTTATCTCCAGCGCGCGAGACTCTGTATAGGAAATTCTAAAGATATGCTCAATTGAAAACTATTTTGCGATATTGCTCTTGAACTGAATTTTATGGTTTAAGTGCGAAGAACGTGATATTTAATAAAATAAAGATAACAGACAAAATGTTAAAAAAACGCCCCTTTGGACGTAATTTAAAATCTGAAACTTTTCTGATTCAACTTTTTTTTCCTATATATTTTTTGTAATATCTGCATCGCAAGTTACTGAAGTGGTGTTTTCAGAACTTGTGGACAATTTTAGGCGACACACGAAAGGCAAACGTTGATGGCCATGCGCTTAGGATCGTTACCCTGATAAAAAGAAGTTGTTTCCAATACCCAAATTTTGGGTGGGTAATTTTAAATTATCTTCTAATATATTTAAATAAAGAGCATGGTTCATGATGCCATCAATAAATACCAAACTATCTAATCCTGATGCTGACATGCACCCACACTCCCACCGCCATGCTTTACTGTTCCAACTATGTTCGTGGGATTAAGTTTCTCATTTTTTCTTCTCCATACTGTTATATGCCTATCGGAAACAAAAAATGTTAAATTTGCTTTCATCTGCAAATAAGACACGGTTCCAATACGCTTCGGGCTTATTTACCATTGATTTTGCGAAAGGAATATAACCTTTCTATTTTTTCACTTACAGAAAAATTTTCATCGAGTAAAGCCTCCATGTAAATGAGCTGATCTAAGTATTCGTTGAACAGTTTCAGGTGAAACTGAAGTAGAAAATTTTTCAATAAATTCTGTAGAAATCTCTACAAGCACTCAAACGTGCGTTCTTCACAAATTTTCTAACTACAAATCTCTGATCACGTTAACTTTGCCGGACGACCTCTTCTTACTTTATTTTCGATCCGATTTTTTTAAAGCGTTTTATCATATACTGCGTCGTAGAATGGGATAAATGTATAAATATGGATCGATATCTGATCATGATTTTCTCATTGTGACAACGGTACATAGAACCATTGAATTTTGAATGACGTAATCCTACTGCGAATATGGGCATGTGAGACAAATTTGAAATTTTTTTTTATTATCGATTTCATATTTTGTAATATTTTTGATTAACAAATTCAACGATTTCAAATCGAGCAATGGCAACGTTGTACAGAAAAAACAGTTTTAATCTTCAACGCGAGAGACTCCGTCTCGAAAATTCTAAAGATATGCTCAATTTAAAACTATTTTGCGATATTGCTCTTGAACTGAATTTTATGGTTTAAGTGCGACTAAATTTTATGGTTTAAGTAGACTTCAACTAATTTGGCGATATCCCGGATCGATTTTCCACCCCTTATGATGAAAAATGATCCATTTTCGAATGATATTTGTTGTTTCCGTACGACTACGACACATTTTTAAATATTAAATAAAATATAACGAAGTAAGCAAGCAAAGAATAAAGACAAGCGAGTTTTTAAACGTCATCAAACTGCAAAAATTAAAAATAAATAAATTAAAAAAAATCTGGAGGTCTCAGATTTTACGTAACGTTGAAAAGGGCGCTTTTTTAACGTTTTGTGCGTTACCTTTATTTATTAAACATCATGTTCTTCGCACTAAAGTCATAAAATTCAATTCAACGACAAAATCGCAAAATAATTTTACAATGAGCATATCTTTAGATTTTCCGATACTTGAATCAACCTTTGCGCGCTGGAGATATCCCCCCCCCTCGTGCAGTGTTGTCATTGCTCGCTTTGAAATCGTTGAGTCTGTTAATTAAAAATTCGTTAAAGTGTTGCAAAATATGAAATCGATAATAAAACAAATTCCAAATTAGGACTTCCAGATGCCCATATTCGGTGGAGGATTACGCTGTTCAAAATTAGATGACTCTAGGTACCGCTGTTTTCTCTCAATGCAAGAAACATACATACATGCAGATTCTTCATTATCTAATTTCTTTAAATATAAGATAGGGCGATAATATTGGGTGGAAACAATTTGAAAAGTGAACTGACGTTCATAGTGAACTAACTGAAAATGCCAAAACGAAATGAATAGTCCTTTGAAGGGGTAAAAAAAAAGTTGCAGACAATAATTTTTATTTATGAAATTTTACGAAAATATTTCGGTGTACGATAACTTTTGTGGCATGCTTTTATCTGCGCCTTCTTATATTTTTCAGTTTTAGAAAAAGAAATTAAGTCGGTATTAAAAAAAGTTTAGTTTTATTCAAAATCACATGGAGGTGATATGAAAAAATATTGGCCTTTACATTCGAATTCAGTTCCAGGCTACAACGTTTTCAACAAATTCTTTAAGTGTACGAACACTTTTGGGAGACACTGTATGTGTAATAACATTTAGTAATAACTTTAACTGTAATAACTTTTGCATATACTTTCACACACCACATATAAACAAGTAAGCCAAAGGGGGAAGGAAAGCACTTATTAAAAATGAGATTGATTTTATTGTACGGTGAACGGTGTTTCAAGTCATTCTATTCTCTTTTGTTTAATCTTACTATCCCGTCTTTTTATGTTGCTTTATAAACAAAACTTCACAGTAAAAAGAATCCGAGAGTGACACTTTTTTGACCCGACTAGAAAAAAGTTATCGCATCATCGTTTGGACGAATTTTCGCCGGCAAGCGTAACTGTCAGCCAAACGGAAAGCCACAAATTTAGCAGCTCATGGCAATGCACTTCTTCTAAAAATGAGTTCTTTATTTTTCATACTTCTATATTTGTCCGTTGAACATGCAATCTTAGAATCTTGATTACGAAGAGTGCACTTTCAAGTATTGGGGAAAATACTGAGCCTAGATAAGGAGCCTAAGCTTTGAATATTTTATAACAAGGATGATTTCTTTCCTCAAAAGCACATGGCGTGCTATTTCATACCTTTTATCATAAAACATATAGCGTCTACAAAACTTTAATACCAAGTTTCGTGAAAAATATAAAATTGAAGAAAACATTCTTACTTAATCTTCATTATACAATCTTTGTAAATCTACACGCGCTACACTTCATATAATAATTGCTTAATTCTTTGAACAACAAAAACAGATTGCATCAGCTTTATACATTTTATAAGCACTTATCGTATTGATTTTGCTAATTGTATATAATAAATTTTGACACATTTAAACAACCTTAATTCAAACATTTTTATATTAGGTTTAATATATGATTACGAAAGATGTTAGAGCTATTTGCGTAATGACAGAAGAAACCTTCGCGGAAAGAATTCTACAGGAAATTGTTTTGTATTCATTTTGCCCCTAAACGTTGGTGATATTTTTTAAAAACAATTCCCAAATTATCAATATTTATCTAAGTTGACAAACATTATTAACATATGAAAAGTCAACACATTTCAGAAATTTTAAAAGTAAACTTTAATTGTTAACTAAGCATTTCATGATTGATTTAAAAGTAAAAAACTTACATTCGTCTCCAAATCTTTCCGTACTTCTTTTTGCGATATTCTTTTCTGTGAGTAACAGCGATCTGTTTTTGCTTAAGAAACATCAGAGAATTGCACAGACTCGTGCGCAAACTTCGTAACGCATCTCTTTGATGTTCTGTGCAGATTTTGGGGCAAAATCCTGTATTACTGCAGATATTTTACCCAAGTTCCTTCCATTACTCGTAAATTCCACAAGCACATATTTTAAAACAAAGTTTAAGGAAAAAAATATCACCGTTTGTTTATAAAAACCGTTAGAACTTAGAATACAACAAAAAGAACACATACTAAAATGTGGAAACGTTGCTTGACTGAACGATTGATATAAGAATGGTTACTTGAAGAGTGGTTACCAAAGTTTGACACATTCTGAAGATTTGGTGACTTCTATTACAGTTATTGCGAAGATACGGTAACTACCTACGAATATTTCTCGTCGGAAAGCGTATAAACATATTCTTCAATCTGCAGCTTGTTTGCATGCGGCATTTAGAAAGAAAAATAAACTTAACAGTAGCAGACGATATTTCTCATTTCTTGCCAGAAATTGTTATTCCAAAACATCTTTTTATTTTTAATTCTTTATCAAAATCATTCTAAAAAAATGTGTAAACATCCTTTGTATTTCGCACTTATTCATTTAGCAGCATGAAATGTAGTACATCATACAATATACTTTATTATTACTTTATTTAATGTTGATAATGTATCAATAAAATTTGATGGATTATTTTACTCAAATAGTCTGTCTTTTGCAGTATTCCATATGATTTCAGCTACTTGTGTTAAATAGGTTACATTAGTTGTGGCTACAGGGGCACCAGTGTAATTTTTTCTCAAAATAAATCGAGGAAATAAAAGTCTGTGGCATAAAATTTTCGTTCAGCATCCACAAATAATTCTGTGATGCTATGAAGAGTTTGTACATAATAAAAAAGATTCTTTTATCCCCCAGTAATAAGCAAAGCACTTTTAATCAATTCCTGAAACTTAAAAATATAAAGTCACTTAAAGCTCAAAATAAAATTGTGCAACAATATACTATTAAACAATAAAAAATATCTCTTATAAATATTGGCAGCTTTATGACATGAATTTTGAAATTTTAATGAAAAAATAACGTTTATAAAAACACCAAAATGTTTATTTCACAAGTCAAACAATACTTAATAATCAAGAGTTTTTTTCTCTCTAAATCACATGTAGTCCAGCTCCATTTCAACAAATGCAGGAGTCATATTCAAGTTTGGATGCAGATAATGCTTAACTACACATATTTAGCATTTTACAGTTAGGTTTGCCAACTCATTCAAGCTTCCAACATGTTCTGCGGCCTGGAACATTCAGTATCAAGGGCTCAAATCTGCTTGCCAACAGTAGTTAAGAAATAAAATATTTTATCCCCCCTCCAAGTAATGCATAATAAATGCTAAAAAACAGATAAATTCATAATTATTGATTTGCATAACATATTAATATTACAGCATAATAAATCTTATTAGAAGAAAATACATTTAGAAGAACTTAATAAAACACTACCATTTAAAACCTTTTTAACGTAAAGTAAGGCAAATTATATTAACTTCCAGTGTCTTCATACTTAACCGAAATACTTCATTCTTTGCAGAGTCATTAGGTTAATTGGAAGCAGAAACGATGAAAAATATGCAACCGCCTTCGCCGGGAATCGAACCACGGACCTCTGGAATACCGACTGAACGTGCTGCCGTTACACCACGAAGGCACGCTAGGAAAGTGGGAGAATTACCTTATATACTCCCCTTTTCAAAGGGCGACTAGAGCTTTAGGAGACCTAGTCGCGAAATACTGGGTGCGTCAATCCACAACCCTTTTAGTTCGGGCGCCACTGTAGAGTCATTAGGTTAATTGGAAGCAGAAAAGATGAAAAATATGCAACCGCCTTCGACGGGAATCGAACCACGGACCTCTGGAATATCGGCCCAACGTGCTGTTACACCACGAAGGCATGCTAGGAAAGTAGGAGAATTACCTTATAATTTAACTAAAAAGCTTTTATCTGAAACTGCAAAGATTATTCAAATTAAACTAAGAAATAATAATACGTAATTCTATACATTTGATAAATACATATTTTGCAACAACCTTCATCATAAGTTGGCAAATCCCGAATTCGAATCCCTGCTAACGGGCTATTCTGCATGGGCGTTTTCGTGGTTTTCCCCACGTGTAACGTGTATACGAGCCAGTTTCCCTTAGAAAGTCCTCCACGAAAGGCATCCCTCCCTTTAGGCAGATAGCCTTCGAGGCTTTGCCATAATCACACACACACATCTCATTTTGATTTATTACACATATATATACATCTGTCAGTAGATACACAGACCACTCCTTAAAATGAAATCATAAATTCAGCCACAACAGAAATAGGTTTAAATTTCAACAAATCACACCACGATCAACAACAATTATCTGGTGAGACAATTTATATATATATATATATATATAAATTCTACATTAAACTTAGGAGATAATATAATCAATTAATCAATATTGTTTAGGATATCTATATCTATATATATATATATATATTAAGAGGATTAGATAAATTGCATCAACAAAATTGATAAAAAAATTAAGAGCTCATAAAGAGCAAGAGATGAAAAGAGTTCAATGTATTTTGAACATCATGGTGAAAAATATTGAAAATCAAGTTACAATCAAAAGTGAAAACTGCACAAGAGTTTCTGATTTTCATTACTTTGTAAATTATAAAAACTTAAAATTATAAATAAGAACAACAAATTAAAAAACTTCATGCTGTAGCAAGTTCACCATAACTGCGGATGAAATATCTTATAAAATTTTTGCTTTTGATTTTACATCTAGAGTGAGAGTTCAAAACTTAAACTTTTAAATAGCAAACTCTCACTTTTAAACAATGAAGACCTATTAACACAAATTTGAAGCAATAATATAATCAACAGACTAAAATTTATTTTGAGAGGTAAATAGAAATGGTTTGGTTTGGTTTATTTAATTACAAAAAAGTGCACTAGGGCTATCAGCCTAAGGGCAGGGATGCCTTCGTGGAGGATTTTCTAAGGAAAACTGGCTCGTATACACGTTACACTTGGGGAAAACCACGAAAACGCCCATGCAACCAGCCCGTTCGCGGGATTCGAACCTCGGACCGAACTACCAGTGTTCAGCGACTTTACCGCTCGGCCGCTGGTAGGCCCTAAATAGAAATGGCAATAACTTGTTACAGAAAAATACACTTATTACTAATTTAGAAAGTTACATAAATATGTACTTTAAACACAATTACTATAAACGTAATTACTGTACTCTAAACAAAAGATTTTGGTTTGGTTTGATTAATTATGGCAAAGCCTGGAGGGCTATCTGGCTAAGGGAAGGGATGCCTTTGTGGAGGACTTTCTAAAGGACACTGGCTCGTGTACACGTTACACGGGAAAAAACAAAAACACCCATGCAGCCAGCCAGTTCGTGGGACTCGAACCTCAGACCAAACTACCAGTGTTCAGCGACTTTACCGCTCGGCCGTTAGTGGGCTAAACAAAAGGGAATTTAAGCTGAAAAATGGAAAATTTTATTAGTTAAATCTATGGAAATGTTAAAAGAATAGCAATACTTTTCTTTGTTATATTCAAATATAATAACTGCAATAATAAAAAATCTCTCTTGTAAGTTTCAGTATATAAACACTGCTTTATAAAATACAATGCATTGTAATTGCATATAAATACAATGCAATTTTGTTGAATACTATTTGTATGTTTTGAGACTTCAAATGCTTTAAAATAAATATATAATTGACTTTTTAATTTATGTAACATTCAGTCTCGAATATTATTTATATGTTTTGAGACTAAATGCTTTAAAATGAAATGAAGATAACTGATTTTTTAATTTATTTATGTAACATTCAATCTCAGAAGTAAAGCACATTAATAACTGCAATGCTGTACATAGATGTTTTCAAAATATTTTATACCTTACACAGCTTCTTTCAATATTCTAAACTGAAATTATCTAAGAATATTTTTCAAGTACAATATCTTTTGCTAAAATTAAAATTCAGTGAATACTTTTTTTAAATAAAAGATACAGACTGCATTTCATTTGAAGAACTGGTGAACATATTACACATGAAGCTTTGTAAGTAAGTGGTATAACATATCATTCTATACTTAATGCTACTATATGGTAGTCATAGATGTTTCTTTTTTGGAATTATTCATAAAACACTCATCTACTCTGCTTTTATAAAGTTTAAAAAAGAGCTTACAAAAATTTAGCCTAATAAATATTCATCTATTCAATATAAAATCTATACACATGAAATCTAACAAAATATTTTCAAAAGAAAATTATACCTAAAAGCCACAACAAAAAAGGTACTAAAAAGGTAAATAATCTATTAGTAAAGAAAAGGTGGATTCAAAAATTTGAAGCAGATTTCTGGATTCAGGGAAGTTTTCTTGAACAATATTTTCTACAATATATGGCATGCCATAGAACTATTTGAGACACACAAAGCAGTTTCAAACTAAAGCACACTTTGTAATGGGAAACTGAATTGCTATATACAAAGCTATCTATAGATTTATAAAGATGAAATTTTACAAAGAAAGATGAAACGAAAAATGTACAAATATGATAAAATGTATTTCTTAAGACATGTCAAATAAATGCCTATTTCAAATAGTGCAAAATGTTTGCTAGAATAATTGTTCATGATGACATACAAGAAAATCAATTCTATACATGAAACTATACATGAAATGATATACAATCCATTAAGATTGCATACTCTACGAAGTGTGTTCCTCGTTTTATTGATATTTATAAAGAAAAAGCGTATGCAAAGAGAAACGGCCAAATCGGAACAAAGTGAGTTAAATTATTATCTTTTTACAATCATAATTTAGTTTATTTTTATGTCTACAACATTGGACCCACAAGTAAAAGATCAACAAGACAGGGAAAATAATTAGCATTTTTTAAAGTTCTATGAGTAAAAAGGTAGGGAAATAGCATTAAAGTTCTGGAGCGATAAGTTAAAATTCCTACTTACCATATAAAACATTACCTCTCTGCAGTTTCATCACAAGTAAAGGCAAAGATAAAGAAACAAATCATGTGCTTACATATTTCATTATAATTTCAGTTCTTGATACAAATGTATCTGAGGAACAAACATAAAAAATATGTCTTAAATTATGCAGGAAACAATAGAAACATGAATTATTTACAAATTATTACTTAAGATGCTGAGTGGCCGCTTCACATAGTTACGAGAACTGTAATCATAATTATAGATAAAGTGATGCTGTTATTTGATATTCTAGTATTTAAATAGAAATTGTTTGCCAGCTGTGAAAATAAGTACGAAAACGTGCTACGATCCATTCTGCATGAATTATACTGTTCTTTATAAACCATGGACGAAATTACACCCGGGGTCTATCTCATACCTTCATAAGTATCTTATTCAAAAGCATGCAAAGGGGATGGGAAAAATGAATGGAATTCTATATCTCCCAGTATTTTAGAACGAGTAGGCAAAAGAACTGGTGGATGTAAACATGACCTGTTGGCAATAAGCAGGATTTTTACGGATGAAAATGTAAACGTTACTTAGCATGTGCAAATTGGTAGTTTTGGGGCCTCCGTTCTTAGAATGGTTCCCAATCTATCCGTATTTGTAGTAAGTTCGGTAAACGATATCAACGTAGGAAAAGTAAACATACTTTAGCAATTTAAAATACAAATTTGAATCATTAAATAACGATTATTTCATACATTAAAAAATAAAATACTTGTATTCCTTTTCCAATATTTCTGCAGTTTGCTTTTCGTTATTCTCCCGAAGTACAGAGCGATCTGGTTTCATTAAAAAAAAAAAAATAGAAAATTTCTGAGACTCGGCTTCGTGCAATCTTCGGCAATAGCAGCTATGTGGAAAATGCTACAGGCACTCGCCCAACCAATCATAAAAATCAACTCATTAATGAAATAAAAGACTTGTTTAAAAAGGCTGAATGAAAACATTGTTAACTTATACTGGGTGAAAGCACACAGTTAAATTGTCGGAAATGGAAGGGCGGACACCCTTGCTGAAATGGCGGCACTTGGGGATGGAACTGATAATTTTGATATCCAGGATTCAAGAATAAAGACCTTTGCTGAAATGGAATTTTTGTTGGGAGTCGGCTAACAAGAAAAAAAAAGAGTTAATGAAAAGTATAAAGTTAAACAAGAAGTTGAATATCATAAATAACAGTGATATAAATCAGGTACTGACTAATCATGGGCGTTTCCCGGTTTATTTGAATCGGTTCCATCTATAGAATGATAAATGCTTAATATAAGTTTGGAAACGCCAGGCACTTCGTCGACGAATGTACGCTTAGTCTGAGTGCAATGGGGAAATATAGAAAGAATTAAGGAAGATTTTAAAAGGAACTATTCCAATTTGAAAGATTTTCCAGAGACAATAAGGTAAATTATAAATACGGGCAAAGATAGAAAATTCTAATTCAGTACCGAGACTCGGATTTTGAACTTTGTTTTTTCTGGCTAGTTCCATTTTTAAAAATACGACCGACTTCTGTCGGCTAGGAGGACTGAGACTGTTTCCTTATAATGAATGAATAATGAATGTTGAAAACTCATTTCCTCGTTGTTCCTTAAAGCAAATTTCAAAAAATATCACGATCTGTATACAAAAAGCGTTGGAACTTTAAATGCAACAAAACAAGAACGCATACGAAAATGGGAGCGTAGCTTGACTGAAACGATTGCTATGAGCATGGTTGCCGGAAGAATGGTCATGCGCAATGGTTGCCGGAGTTTGGTACTTCCGGAAAATTTTTCTACTTTCACTAAGATGGTTGTTATATAGAACGTAAATACCAACGTGCACACTTAATAATGAAAACACTACAGTTTTCGCTACTTCAGTTTAAATACACTCTCGTTCGGCCTTATTCATTTACATCCTGGCAAGGAAACGCGAGAGAAATAAGGATAGGAAACCCTAACAAATTAAAATTATTATCAAAAATAGTGCAAAGTGCATATCTTTCCCAGCTAAAATTTATTTATCAATAAAAGGTACTAACCTCGATAAACGTAACTTACTCGATAAACGTTACTTACCTCGATAAACGTAACAAACAAACAAAACAAACTCTACAAAGTTTAAGTCTTAAAATTTCTTAAACTACTTTTCACAGCTGAAATATCGTACCACTTGCTCTACGTACACATCCTACTTCTTAATATGTTTTCATACTCTTTCCTTCCAGTCTTTTGGCTGGAAAATAGTTTAGAGCAAGTGATTTAACATATTCACTTCAAATGGGAGCGCAAACAAATAATTTTCACTTTAACACAAATAGATTTACACTCAAACTTGTTTTTGTGCGATGGATAGAGACCGCATGAAGGAAAACGCAGAACATTTCACGAGTAGCTATAAAAGATAGTTTTGGAAACATAGTTAAACACCTTCTTTTATGAGGTGAATAGCATAAAAAAGTTTCACGTAGAAAATAACTCAAAACCTTACGAAATAATTTACGAATCGCTTTTTAAAAAGAAATCAAGACATGAGGCTTGGCAGTTACAACTTGGAATCTCGCCAAACCTTTCAGAAACAGATTTAGCAAATACACATGCGAACATTCTTAAATGTTTTATTTACATATGTACTTATTTTTCGCATGCAAAATTTGTCAAAACTTATAACCAGTATCCTTTGCAGTCTGACAATACGCGAACTTTCTTGTGGTAAACTGGTTCAAAATCGGTTTAATGTAAAGCGTGTTCAACATTACTGCCTAACCAACAGCCTGCATGTTAGAAGTTTCACCTCAAAAATAAATCCTACATTAAATTTTCAGTCCTGAGGTGCTAATTCAAGTGAAGCCTAGCTTTAAATGTCATGCATTCTCAAAGTAGTTTTTATTTTTAACTTAAATTCTACTGTTAGCTTGACCTTAACTCTTTCATACATACGCACTTATTCCCGTTTTACTAGCAGACACAAAAGTACATTTAGTTTTTTTGTGTTTCACAAATTTCAGAAAAAGTTTTACATTTACAATCCGTTTTAATTTAATTCCCTGAAAACATTTTCAAATAATTTATATTCAACAAAATTCTTTAGTTTAAAGAGTAACGAATTTGTTTCACTTAATTGGAAACTCAGTCCTCTCAGACTGAAAAATTAAGATCTCGTTCTCATTTTTAAATTAAAAATATTCTGATAATTACAAAGCCTAACTTTAAATTCCATGCATTCTCAAACTAGTTTTTATTTTTAACTTAAGTTTTCCTATTAACTTGAATTTTAACTCTTTCGCATATAAACACATATTTCTGTTTTACTAGCATCACAAAAGTACTCTTAGTTTTAACATATACTCGCAAAAACGTTTACATTTACAATCACTCTAGTTCAGTTTCTTGAAAACAATGTCAAATCTTTCACATTAAATAAAATTCTTTAGTTTAAAGAGTGATTTAAGAGTATTTCACTTAATTGGAAATTAAATTTAATTAAATTTCCTAAATTAACTCTCAAACTCAATTAGATTAAAACTGAACATCTCGTTCTTATTTTCAATCTTAAAATATTCTGTTAATTACAAAATCCAACTTTAAATCTCAAGCATTCTCAAATTAGTTTTTATTTTTAACTTAAATTTCACTATTAACTTGACTTTTAACTCTTTCGTATATACACACACATTTCTGTCTTACTAGCATTGCAAAAATAATTTTAGTTTTAACACACATGTCACAAAAACGTTTACATTTACAGTCACTTAAATTCAATTTCCTGAAAACAGTTTCAAATCATTTACATTGAATAAAATTCTTTAGTTTAATGAGTAACGAATTCGCCGATTCATTCAACAGAAAACCCACCAAAACTTCCTACAGTCAGTCTCTCAGACTAAAAATGAACATCTCCTTCTCATTTTTAAACTTAAAATATTGTGATAATTACAAAAAAATTAAGTTAAAGAGCATCTTTCTCTGTATAGTTCTAAAATACGATTATCCTTGATCGAAGCAACGACTGAAAGAAAATCTTTTAGCACAATTTACTTAAAATTAAGTAAAACTAAATACTCAAATAGAGTCATTTTCACTTATCTTTCGTTTGTCGAAGTCAGACAGTCTGTTCTGGACGAACTCATTCCAGGAGTCGAAATTGCCAGTGTGCTAGACCTTGAGCCGCCGACGCAGTCTGCTGTTCGCTTGTAGGGTCAGTCATCCAAAGTTCCGTGTTGTTGAAGGTGGCCTGGTCAGTCGAAGTCCGCTGGTTACTACGCAGATTCTTGCTCTGGAGAGGTTCATTAAGAGCTGTTTCAGGCATGGAATCAATGCCAACGTGGTCTAAAAACCGACTACTCACAACGAAGAACACGTGAACTGACTTTCGGTCTACGATTGCGCAGAGTAGACTGCGCAGTCACGTATCTTCAAAGACTGACTACTACTCAAAACCCGTTTCCACAGGTGTGAATGGCATTGATGATTATTATTTTACACCTGAGTAAGCCACCCAACCGATACAGTGGCTAGCCTCGTTGACTGGTATAATGAAGGGCCTGGGTTCGAATCCCGGAGAAGGCACGGATGTTTATAAATGTATGCAGTAAAAATATTAAAATCTATCGTACATATTTTTAAGAAAGTAAAACATTTTTTTTATTCATGATGTCATAAATATGAACCATATTATTAATTTTCTTAAAGATTACAAATAACTTTACATTTAACAGATTTCTAATAATATTTTGTAACTATATATTTATAGTCGCCCAACCGGTATAGTCGCTGACTGCCGTGCCAAAGTGCCCGGGTTCGAATCCCGAAGAAGGTATGGACGTTTGCAAATGTGTAGACTTGGCGGCAATCTAAATATGCAGCAAACAAACAGTCCTCTCGTGTGGTTTGATGGAAAGGGAGAGGTGTAAGAGATCGTCGTACCCGTCAGCCCGGGGTGCTGTCCATCAAAATTGGAGGCGGAACTGAGCCAAACTGCACTGCCTAATGGTTGGTGCTCAAGGCTGTGGCCAACGACAGGCGTACACTTGCGCTCCTTGCCACGAGGTGTTTCGTGGACTTGGACTGATGTTATTCTCAGACAAGTAAGTATAAGTAACACCACCACCTGAATACTATGAAAATAATGACGACACACATCATCGTACGGATGTACCATGGAGGGACGCAGTGAATAGGTGCAGCTTGCGAGATGGTACACCCACACTTTGCACTCTCATACACATACTATAACAATAGCCAAGCTAGGTATGAATTCATTTTCAGAAATTTTTTAGTTTTGTTATAATTTCTAATTTCATCATCAAATTTAGTATGGCATCATGATTCCCATTTTCAGAAGCTGTGCTGTTATGGGAAGGAAAACAGTCAAAACAATCAGATAAAAAAATTATGTATAAAATATTAAAAGTTTTTCTTTGTCACTCAATTCAATTATTTAACTATTCAAAATACGAATATTACTGCAAAAATAATCCTAATGAATTGTTGCTTCAGTACAATACGTTTTATACTAGTTTTTTCAAGATCTGAAAATCATCTCAAACGTTTTACGATACGCATAAAGAAAAAGATCCGACAAAAAGTCAAGTTTTAAATTGATGCACAAATCTCAAACTCACATTAAATTAAGCGACTTTAAAAATCGAGAGTACTTTCAACTAAGTTTGATAATTGGGATGGCTAATAGTTAAAACCATTTCTTTTCTGTGCCTAAAAATAACTAGCAATAACTATCAAAAAGTAAATCTGGTTATTTTATGAATTATTAAAACAATTTTCAGTTTAAGAATATGGTTAATTTTTGTTACAAACACTTCCTAATTTATACCTTACAATACGGAACATTAATAATGCATCAAAATGTTTTAATTATATTTGTAGTTTAGTGATAATAGTTAAAATTAATTAAATTTTTAACTGATTTTTTTTCTGTTACGTTTTGAAATTTTATTCCGAATTGCTTTTTCCTACAAGATTACGAATCATTCACTAATGGCACTAGGAAACGAGAAAAAAAAAATTTAAAAACTAATGCAACTTAACTCAATGTTGAACGTCAACTGAATTTATTTTCCCCTTTGTCGTACTAAGAAACATTTTACTTACGAAATATAGTAAGAAAATAATTTATTTTTGCTTCATGATTGAAGAAATTATAGGCCAGTGATAAATTAACTTCATATTTTGAAAATTAACTCCGATTCAACTATTTCGAGAATGTTAAATATTTACATCTTGTGCCTTTGTTTGAATAAAAATAAGTTACTATCATCCCTGGAAGCTATGAATAGCTTTAACTGTGAGAGACCTTTCACTGTTCACACTTTATCTGAAATTAATGGGAAGATTTTTGTATTAATATATATCTCTTAGAGTTTTTAGTAATGTCTACATTTTATCATTCTCTTGGAAAATAATAATATAAAGTGATTAAGTATAGAATTATAAAACTCTAATACTTGATAAAAAATTATCTCTAACTAAAGTTACCCCCCCCCAAAAAAAAAAGTTTTTAATAAAGTTAGGAAAACAACAGGATAACGCATCAATTTAAAACTTGACTTTTTTGTCAGATCTTTTTCTTTATGTGTATCGTAAAACGTTTGAGAT